GGCAGACGGTGCTGCCAGGGACCCGGCGGGCACGCTAGGGCAGAGTGGTTCAGGTCCTTCGTGTTCCCGCTGAACGTTCTAGCTCAAAAGTGCAATACTGCTTTTTATTCGTTCGTATTTACAAAGAACACAGCTCTGAAGCCGAATCCCCCCTTCTCTTCCCTCTCCCTTCCAAGCACTGCCCGACGGGAGGACCCCGGCCACGACGGGGAGTCCGCAGCCTACTTCACCGTCACGGTCGAGGCCCCGTGAATGGACTCCATGACGGCTGCGAACCGGCTGCAGAGGTCGTAGGGGGAGTTGGGCCGGATCTTCGGGGGCTCCTTCAGAACAATGACCTCGGTGGAGCAGTCGAGCAGCCGGGGGAGCACCTCGCCCAGCTTCATCTGCAGCTTGGCTGTCGAGGGGGAGAGGATGAAGCGGTCAGCAGCACTGCCACAGCAGAAGCCCAGAGGGCTCCGGGGCCGCGAGCGAAGAAGCTGTGATGCCTTTCAGAGACGCAGCGTCCAGCGCTGAAACCGCCCACCGCCTGCCGGCCTGGGCCTCCTGCGCTCCGCACCCCCTGCCCACCCGCCCTGGGCTCCCTCAAGAGGGAAGCTCCGCTGCCGCGGCCCATCGGGGCATCGCGTTTTCCCAGGAAAGGCGCTGCCCTGGCCGGCCAGGCGGAAGTGGCTGCGTGTTTCGAAGTGGCTGCGTGTTTCGAGGAGATGCTCAAATCCTGACTTGGCATTTCAGTTTGTAACCGGACGTGAGAGCCCGGAACACCTCGGGCCCTGGCAGGCACCGCCCGGTCCCGGCGAAGGGCTGGCCCCCCAGGGCTGACCATACAAGCGCCACCGGACTGCGCATTAAGGGACAGGCACCTCCGGATGAAGAATCGGGGAGGTGCAAGCAGCCTAATTCTGCTTCTCTAAAATCTTCCGTGGAAGTAACCACCACCGGGCAAGCCCGAGAACGGGAGACCTGCCTGAATTTATCCAAGATCCATTCTTTACAACAGTACTTTGAGAACAAACCTTTGCGGTTTCACCTTGCCTCCCTACAGCAGGGTTACCCTCTGCTAACGACAAAACCCCCGTAATGACACCCTGAAACCTTCATGCACAGATCGAGGGGGTGGAAACCCATTTCTCTTAACAAAAATGACCCAAGAGGAGCTGTGGGAGCCCGACTCCAGCGGAAGGAAATCCAGAACCAGAACAGCCATCCAAAACCAAAATTCAGCCACAAAAGGACAAACGTCTCCCCAAAACACAGAGTGCCCCCGAATCTGCTCCCCCATCCCATCTCCTGCAACTCTGGCCGTGG